ATCACTATCTATCATCTATCTATCCTTCATCTATCTATCTATCTATCTATCTATCAATCATCTATCTCTCTATCACTATCTATCATCTATCTATCCATCATCTATCTATCTATCTATCTATCTATCATCTATCTCTCTATCTCTCTATCTCTATCTATCATCTATCTATCCATCATCTATCTATCTCTATCTATCTATCTATCTATCTATCTATCTATCTATCTATCTATCTATCTATCTATAAAATGCAAGTTCTACTTGCTTGATAAAGATGTGGGCAAACAACCTTCAGAAGGAATGAGAAATATTTACCGATTGCAAAATTCTCTTGGCATTTATTACTTCCAAAATCAGTTGGCATCTTAGAACTCATTCAACACTGAGCCTACGAGGTCATCACACTCTGCCAACCCAGCTCTGGCCCAGCAAGTGTGAGCTCCTGGGTTTGGGCCTCAGTATGGAAACTACAACCTGAGAGACTATCTTAAAGGGACAGCAACATAGATAGCACACACTTTAAAGTCAGTATTATATCAAAGTCATGAAATGTGGATACCACAGACTTATCTAAGAAACAAGATATTTTATTTTAGTGAAAGAACAAATAACCTAGAAATGACATTTTAAAGTAAAAATTTTAAAACCTAATAAGATTATTGCTGGTTTTTTTATTTTTATTCTTAGCTTGCCAAAAGTCTATCTTGATGTGAGCAAATCCATCCGGCAGGAGGATGGAACGCTATACAATAGACACATCTAACGTCTAGAGAGACAGATCTTGCTATGTGTGACTGACATTGGGTCTGTGGTCATATCTCAGAGCTGTGATTAAGTCTCACAGCATTGCCCATTTTGCCCTGAAAAGTTAACAGGATCTGTCATCCTGTCTTGTGACAATATGGGTGACAACTCTTTAGTCATATCTCAAACATTGGATCCCTCCATTTCATATTTCTGCTGTAAAATATTCGAGACGTGCATCTGTTACAAAGCAAATACCTGAGAGTAAATTTCCTTCCACATAATCGTCTTAGCTGTCATGCTCATATGTGTAACCATGGGTGCAGGGAGAAATGTTCTTACCATTTAAGAGAATGCACAGTTATGTTACCTGCCTCTTACACATTTTTAACCATTGAAAATGCAAGGGTAAAAGTATGCAGGAAGATGCATTGACTCTTCATGAGGATGTGTCTGCAGACTGACATGCTGGAGGCTGTTCAGTATGTTTTTACCTTCTGCAAAAAAATTCAGGGTTACTGCCTTTGTGCTCTTAACATGTTCAGCACTGAAAAAGGGATTTCTTCAGTTCCTAGTATTATTTCAAACCATTTTATTTTTAAAGAGATGGAAGAGAATTTCCCCTATAAAATCAAAGATCTAGCACTACAAAGCCAAATGGTTTTAAGACAGTGGTTCTCAACCTTCCTAATGCTGTGACCCTTTAATACAGTTCCACATGTTGTGGTGAGCCCCAACAAAAGCTATCTTTGTTCCTACTTCATAACTACACTTGCTACCTCCTTGCTAATGTTATGAGTCATAATATAAATATCTGATACGCAGGATATCTGTTATGTGTCTCCTGTGAAAGGGTCATTTGATGCCCCCAAAAGATCACAACCCACAGGTTGAGAACCTCTGATCTAACCCCTGATGGGAACTGGGAATGTCTAGGTGCAATGATGTCCACACGGGCTCCTTTGTGCAAAGGACTCACCACCCACGGCAACATCTGGGAAGGATGCTGACCTTCCAACTTCCTCTCTGCTCCATTTCCTTCCAAGTTGAAGAACAAGCTTCATTAGCATATGGTTTCGCTCTGGATGGGGCAGCTTCTGGAAGTTGCATGGACAAATCGGAAGCCTGAGGTATGTCTAATACATTCAGGGACAGTAAAGACGTAGCTTCTTCTCCTGCCTTACAGAAGTGCTTACAACCAACAACAGGCAGAGACCCACAACTGAGTAACAGAGTGACTAACGGCCCCACTACCTACTTTGAGTATATTAATGTTAGTAGTTTAGGTTCATATGCTAGAACACAAGCCTGAGACAGAAATAAAGGAAAACTGTTTTCTGCAAGTGAGGACCCAAGCAGATGAACTGAGCAAACAGTGAGCTTTGCTTTTCTTGGATTCAGGGTCTGGCTGTAAATACAGTCCAGTTCCTCTTCATTCCTCAGGGTCCCACATAGGAATGCACACAGGGCTGCTTCTGCCAGGCCTTCCTGTGGCCCTGACCAAGGTCTATGAATCTGATCCACATGGTGCCACAATAATATCCTTTAACTTACTCTTCAAATCTTCACTTCTGTCAGCTTCTGGAATTATAGCCCCTAAGGGAAATGAACGAGTGTGGAAGTTCACATTTTATTAGTGTAACAGGGACAAGAGTTCACTCGAAACTATAAAAAAAAGGTAAAAACTGTAAAACCATGATCTTATGCTCAACAGGGCTGTTGAATCTTAAGCATTTCAAATCAATGTAAAACAGGTGAGAGCATCCCGTGTGGCCTCCTACAAGCCAGGATTAGATCCAGTGTAGAAGCACAAATTTGTTTTGGGTTTGCAACAATGGATTTACTTTAGCTATGTGGTTCTACCTCCTGCGGACAATACTTTTTGAAGCTGGACAGGATGTGCACATACCGGACAGGTGGGGATGCTCTGATCCCACTGGGTCATGCTCAGACTCTCCTCCAGACTGGTGCACTTCTTCATCACTGCATCCCAGCCACAGTAAGGGTCCTGAGCGCCAATGCAGGCACTGAAAGCAGACATGAAAATACACTTGACTGTACAGTTCCTTCACTGTAAGAAAATATCCACAGGATGTTCCTGAGAATGGAGATCACTCAAGCGTGACCTACAAAACAGACCTAGGTGAGGCAGGGACGCAAGACAGGATTGGAAGTCTCCTGCTTCTTGTGTTGACATTACCTGGCTGGGATAGACTGCAGCTGGGAAGGATCCAATATTGAACTAGCTCAAAGTAACACATTTATGTTCGTAGCTCCTGAGAAGGGCCAGGGAGTCATTGCCCACTGACAAAATGACATGTTCAGCATGTACCTCACCTTGGGATTTGTTCTGTCTGTGACCCTGTTTTCACAAATATGGGTGACTACAACACAGCCATACTCAGAGACCATTTGAAGGGCTCAAGTTTCTTCCTTATGGTTTGTTTTTTTCTTTATTATTATTATTAAAGTAACACGACCACTAGGTTAAATCCAGATTTCCAAAGAGGAGATATTTGATGAACTACTTCTTTTGCATAGGACCTTCCTCGACTGCAAAGCCACCTGGAGACCTGAAATAAGCCTTCTGGATTGGAGTGAAGGTTTAAGGCTCTGAAACTCTGCCTGTAATAACAGTTCCACCTTTTCTACAATGCTGAAGGTTCTGGTTGTTTTAACATTCCATTTCTCTTTAAATATTACAGCTGCTATCCAAACACAAGTGGCCATTCAATAGAAAGCCCCCATACTTATAATTTCCTCTTGGTCTATACCAAACCAATCATTAGGACTTATTATTTTTGGAAGTTGGGTCTCTTAAAGAGGCCATGAGGAAAAGAAGAGTTTCCAATGAATGTAGCCATGGTAAAAGTGGTATTTCTTTCTTCCTTGGTTTTTCTTTCTTTCTTCTTAAACTCATTAAGAATAAAGATTAAAAAAAAATGAATGAGTTTAAGGTACTTGATTAGAAAAAGTCACATCAACACTGCCAAAAACATGGGTAAAACTAATTATTAGTATTATTTAATCTTCTTTCCTGACAATAATTTTGTCACTTGAATTTAAATATTTTATAGGGTAAGATCAAATATTAATATTTAATATGCTACAGCAGGATACTAGAGTCCTAAGCAACACAGGCTAGTTTCCAATGTCTGAGGACTGAATCAAGAATCTTTGAGGCTCATTAAAGACTCAGGCTGTCCTGTAAATACCTCACATTTCAAAGGGAAAACAGAATACTGAGAAGAAAGCATGTTTCTTTCACACACTTGAGTCTCTTACTTATGCAGACAGATGAATATCTCGTGAAGAACTTGCTGAATGGAGCAGGATCTGGTACAATGGGTGCAGCTGTGTAAAAGCCATCTATGGACTTGTCAGCTTATCTTCCATCTGTCTCAGACTGCCCGGAACTTACTCTATTTTATGTGACACACTGTCTGCTTTTAGACAAGGCTGAACTTGAATTGGACATCCTACTGCCTTGATATTTCAGGCACCGGGATAGTAAGCAAGCACTCCCATGAGCAACACTACCATGTAGCATGTTTGGTTTTTGACTTGTATGTGGAGCACAGGGAGGCTTTGACCCAACTTTCAGTGGAATGTGCATAGAGTACAAGGATGGGAAGTGCCATCTTAGAAAGACCTACATTAACTGACAGTCACCCTTCATCAGGAAAGAAAAGGAACCATGTTGTATTGAATTCTTATTTCTATTGCTAACCTATTGCAAATCTTCTGTCTCTGTTACCACTCTTATGATCACATACACAGAGAATCTGAGTTCTTTCCCGTTGTCTCCATCCAGGGTCCAAATGAGTCCCAAGTTCATAGTGTTTTTATATGTAGGATGTTTTATCAGTACACGGGAATGGTTATAGTCTAAAATCATGAGTTCAGTAAATTATACAGCAATAAACATCTTAGGGGGAGCTCAGGCACTGCTGTTGTTAAGAGCTTTGGAGAAGGTCTAGAGCCAAGAATGATGCTGCTACCCAGGTTTTCCATGGAACTGTGTGCACAGCTGTGCACCTGAGGCTCAAACGTAGGAGGCTTGTGGCGTAGGTATCAGATGGGGTGTGTATTATTAGTAAGGCCTTTATGCTGTGCTTCTCCACTGACGAAACTATCTAGCTGACTGGTTAGAATACACCGATGACTTAGATTTCCATTTAGGCCAGGAACATGCTGTCTTTAAATATGCAACAGGAAGGAGACTCCCAAACTGTTTGTTAGTTACAGCAATACTAAGGGAAACTCAGAACCTATAGGAGTCAATTTTACCTATGGTTTATTTTTAGCACACTTGGCTATGCTCAGACACCTGTATGCCACTTCTATCACTGTAGTGGTAACATGATTACACTGAAATAGTTCACAAACAAGAGATGAGGGAGAAAACCACTTATGATCCAGAGGTATATGGAGGAGAATTTGGCACTGTAGAAGACAGGTAAACTACTGCACGTCTATAGGATGCTGTGTGTACATTTTCTTAGTTTTTGCTGTGTCGCCAAGGTAGCAATATGTGTTATTGCTAGAATTAGATCTATCATGAAACACAGGCTTACTTCATGTGATTCACTAAAATGATTAATATTAGTGATTTTGAATGTATAATATGGTACTATCTTCGGTGAGACACCTCTTAAATTGGGCATACTCCATATAATCAAGCCCCTGCCTTCTCCTAATAACTGCACAATAAGCAATAATGTAATGTACAATTATTAGCTCTAGTGGAGGTCACAGAAGTTTTATGTTCTGCTTTCCATCACAATTTGAGAGTTTCCTTTTCACCTTGGTAAGGTTCAAGGGGAATATAATAATGCTATAGTACATTGTGTTCCAGCCTGACTATTCCCGGAATTCTTCTTATAGAGAGCTCTGTACTGTTGTAAGTAGCATGTGGGTCCACGTGATTTCTCTTCCCCTGTATATTTAAACAGTTATAATCATTGGATGCATATGGAAGTTGCCACAGTCACAATTTAACGGCCCCAGAGTCACCTACTGAGTGAAAAATTTATTGAATGTGTTGTCATGACCTGGTGCTTAGTTCTGGAAGTTGAGAATTAGAAAACCAGTAATAATTCAGATAAGGCTTAAGAAATAATGGGATATTAGGTAAGGGGATTGATTCCTAGCATGGTATAGAATCAGATATAATGATAAATTCATTTTGGGATAAAATGTAATACAACCTCAGGAACCTTTGACTCAATTCTACATTAGATATTCAGATAATTTTATTTATGGCAGAATTTCTCATTAGTCTCTGAGCCCCACACAGACAGGGTCAGGGATGCATCATTTGTCATCATACACTCAGGAACTGGCTTCGTGTTTAGAATGTATTACGTACTATAAATACATTGTGAATGAACTGATGAAGGAAATCCATACACTTACCACGCTAAGCGAATGAATGACAGTGTGGTTCAAATTTCAGGATGTTGAGATTTGGAAATCAATAAATTAATTGTGGAAGGAGAATATTTCCTTTGTAAAGCGAATGTTCATCAAAAGCTCCTCCTGGATGATTGCATGGTACCAACTAGTTTACTGAAGGTGTCTCACTGGGAGCATGGAGGGCGATGTTATTTTCTCAGCATGTGGTATACTTTGCAGCTGGGCAGATGGTGTCTTTAGAACACTTAATTAATAATGGTGTCAACCTATTACGTCTACCTTTGAAAACTTTGCCCTTTAAAGCAACGGATGTCCTACAGCACTTAATTTCCATACTAATTTTCTTAATGAGGTATTAATTCCTTTACCTTAATGACACCATTACACTGATTAAATTAAGAGTGGCCAGACACCAGCTCTGCCCAGTGAAGTCCAAGATGTCTTCTTAATGGTTCCATCATTCCTTCCAGTTTTATAAAATACAATTCTAGAGATGTTTATTTCCTGATTCACCTATGGCTATCTCTGTTCCTGGGCTGGCTTTTCCTCTAACCCCAAGTACATCATAAAACAGAAGTACCAAAGGATAACAGACTTCCAGTCCTTTTGTTCTTTACCTCACCTTACCTTTCTAATTCTCCACAGAATGTTAGCCACCCTCCACTAGGTTATAAGAAGACAGCAAGGAATTCAGAACAGAGTCCACCTGGCAATTCATCAAGCATATACTGAGCCTCTTTTGCGGTGTACATGGTGCTGGAGGCCAAAGGAACCTGAAGACAGAGGCCAAACCAAGCCTTAGATGATGCAGCAAGATAGAACTTGTACCATTCTTAGTTTCTGCTCTAAGGCTATAGCCATTGCTGGTTACACATGCTCTCTTAGATTCAGGTGGATCTCTCATAAACAGAATGCAAGCTCTATGACCTGGTGAGCTAATCTGATCTTATATAGACAATGACTGTCAAAAAAAATAAAAATAAAAAAGAATACACAAGAGTTGCCAAAGAATTGAGATTCTATGAAATTCAGAAAATATTAGGTTTTGTAATAAATCTTTGGATATGATATGATAAAGTAAATCCCATCAAAGACATACCTCTTTAACTCGGGAATTAGCAGATGAAAGTCTATAGACCACATCTACCCTGCTGAGTTTGACCTAAACAGAACAAACACAGGGATGTTTTTCACTCCAGCACCATGACAACTGTTCTTAAGTCCATGAAGCCAAGCCATAAGATATGGCTCAGTAGCAACAGATGTACTACTTAAGCTGCAGCAGAATGTTGCAAAATATTTAGATCCTGGGACAGTGGGTTTCCAGGAGTTGCTATAAAGTCATTCCCTTACCACCTCCCTCCTCTGAGAATTCTAGGGCTGATCTCATGAAGTTGGACCCCATCACTTTAAGAGACTCTTGCAAGTTCTATAATGGCTCAGCGTCTAAAGGAACACCTCTACATGAGCAGGTGCCTTGGTTGACCGGTGGCATTGGTCCCATACTCTACCCTTTGGTGCCTTTCTGTGGAGCACTGTGACTAAGAGGTAACTTATTTTTTCTTGTCTTCATTGATTGTCTAAGTCATAAACTCTCAGAATCCAAAAGCAACTCATATATTTGACATGCCTAGTTCTTGTCAAGCTTTGCTCAGACCATAGCCTTGGCTTGTCCTGATGGCCACACATCAGGGAAAAGCCCATTCTTTGTTACAGAAATTTTATACTTGAGGGTATTTTCCGGGTATTTTCCTTTTTTTCCCAAGGAACACTTTCTGAGCTGAGAATCTAGTCAGTGTGCATATACTTCTTTAAATGACTTTTAAAAACGTGTGTCAAAGGCCCTCCCACTAATCTTCCACACTTTCACTTGCTGAGAATTGAAGAGCTGTAACTATCTTAGGATTTGCAAGACTTCCAGAGGTGGGAAGGGAGAAAAGTCTGACTTCTAGATATGGCTATGAAAGCCTGAGTGATATGGCCACATCTGTCTCCTGACTCAGTGCAGCGGGAACTCTCCAAGTCCAATGTCCACGTCTATCACACTGTAAGTGCCAGGTTATAGTTCACACTGGTGGACAAGCCAGGAAGGGATTCATTAGTAGCTCTTGTGACAGCTCCATCTTGTGCTCTGCCATCTAGAACTTTTCATTCTTCAAAGAATACAGATTAACACTGGCAGTGTACACCAAGAACAAAGGGCCCAGGAAGTGACACTCATGAGGTATTGTGAAACATTGACCTACAGATGCCAGGTACCTCAAAACCTTTTAAGTATCAGCTCATGTTATGAAATATGTAAATATGTAGGCTCAGTCATCACATGGAAATGATATTTACAGAGATGACTGCAACTTCAAAGACCTGGGTTTGGCTTGAACATTTGCATGATTTTCTAGGAGATTTATTTAATGGAAGCATCCAAACATAGTCACATCACAATAAATACATTTAGTGACTTTTGTGATAAATTTGACTGAATTATAACTTTAAGGCATTTTTCTTCTAAGATAGCTTCTAGAGAAGTGCTCATGCTAGCATGCTCTTTTCTGAGCTACAATGAACAGTGGACCGGCAGCAGCCTCCCCCAAGGATGTAGGATCACCCTGAGAAAAACTGGAACAGATACTCAGTTTGGGATGCTTTGGGATCCTGTTCCGTGCTGGTTTCATCTGCCATAGCGCCAGGGCAAAGATGAGAAAGCAGATAGGAAGACACCTCAGCTAATAAGTCCCATGTTCCAGGTCCTAGAGCAGTGGTTCTTAATCTCCCTAAGTGTTGTGACCCTTTTGTGTTCCCATGTTGTGATGATCCACATCCATAAAATTATTTCCTCACTACTTCATAACTGAAAATTTTCTACTGTTATGATTCATAACATAAATATCTTTGTTTTTAGTGGTCTTTTTGGGGGGGTGTCGAAATGCACAGGTTGAGGACGTCTGCACTAGACAGTCTATTTTGAAAAAAAAAAGTAGCAGAAAGTGAACTCAGTAGCTCATGAGTCACCCTATCTGTGGTGACTTCTCTGCACAGAGTGAACCATCAATATATTACGGATGTGGGGGTAGACAGACTGGCCCTGGCCTGAGTGAGTGACTAATGGAGGTAAATGACTTTGAGTGGGACACTAACCTGACATCTGGACTTCCAACCTCCATGTGAACAATAAGACTTCCAGACTTGCCTCAATAATCTTGGAAAACGTGGCAGAAATGTAAACACTACTGTGAAATTACATAAATTGTCTTTGAAAAATAGATAACCGACAAAATGAAAAACAAAGATTCTCATGAGACAATTTTCTCCTTTAAAAGTGTCATGTTTACATTTTAGGTGCATTATTTGCATGCGCTCACTTTCTCTTTTTGAATATTGCAAAGTTCCACTTATGAAATTGATTTCCTAAAGCAACAACCAAATTATTGATAGTTTACTAAAGAATGGCATTTGGCAAAGAAATTATCACACAACCCTGTTATTAGTCCATTCCTAATGGAAGTCCTTCATTAAGCACATTTCTGGAAAATTAAAATTGTTTCTCTGAAAAACAAACTACTATTTTTTTCTATGAATCATTTGAAAAATCCAAGCAAGCGGTATTTATAAAATAGAGTCTCCTTGTGAGTTTTAACTGGGGAGGCTTTCTCGTCCTTCCACACGAAGAGGACACTTGGAGAAGCACATCGGAAGACACACAGAGGGATGCTTGGTTCACAGTCTTTAGAATTTCCTTCTCAGAGGGAATACTAAGAGCCAAACACAAGAGTACTAACTGTGGCACACAGAAGCCCCAGTGTATGGGCTCACAGTGGAGCTGTGCTCGCTTGTAGTTTAGCTCTGAGCAGGTGAAAAAAAAAACAGAGGGGAGATTCAGCCACACCGGCTTCTCCTCTACCATGGATGCTGAGGAGGCACATGTGGCCTTATTCTTCTCGGAGGAAGCAAGAACTGTTACTTATGGCATCTACACCTGGTGGCTCCAGCCCCTGTGGATTCCAGATGGGGTTGATGGACGATGGCGTGACAGACAGCAGCCTCCATACCTCTGTTGGCAATCCTACCGGTGACTTAGTTTCCTGAGCTGAAGGAGCTGAGGTGACCTCCAACTCACTGAATGAAAGTGCAGTGAAAGAGATGAATTGTCTCATGCTTCGCAACTGCACTCCTAGTCAGTGAATGCAAGCAATACCACACATGTTTTCCTGCCTGTGACCCTGTTTTGACCCCAGCAAGTCCCCGGGAGAACTTGGATCTAACAGAGTACGACTTGGGAAACTGGTTTCCTTCCAGCCATGCTTGGCTAGGATATGCCTCTTGGCTACACCCCAATCATCCCAGTTATCCACTGAATGATCAGCCTTCAGAAGGGAGACACATCTGCCTCAGACTGGACTTGCAGAAACATACACAGAATAAGTTTCAAATGGCCATTGGTTAATGTTAGAAATCAGAGAGATGTAAAAAAGGATCATTAATAAATGTCACTATGTACTAACAACATTCACAGCACAACTAATAAGGCTATCCTGATACTGTTCTTTAACTCTGTCTGATACCAAGGACATATTATACAGATTTCATTTTATAGAACCACCCTTCAGGGAACATTGTAATGGTTATACATTAAAAAAAAAAAGAAAAAAGAAAAAAAATCCTTCCGTCTACATCAAGAACATGCAGAGACCTTTAGGTTTTACAATGCATATATCACCCCATTTGATTCTATAGCAAGTCATGTGTGTGAGCTGAGACAGTGAGGCTGAAGCATATTGGAGCCATGGTCAAAACTATCAGTGACAGGTGTGTAGTATGAATTTCCTGCCTCCGACTCCCTGCATAGAAGCAGAATAGCCTGTGCATGGCAGGGTCTTGCAAGTAGTATAGTAAAAATGTCACTTCTACATAAACCTTCAGGTATGTCTTGCTTAGGGGAATAGCTATAAACAAGGCTACCAAGCTCCCCTAAAGCAGAATTGTGTCAGAGGCCAGAATACGTTTCCACTTTCCAACACTATAAACATTACAGAGCTAGTCAACTAGTGTGCACAGTCCTCTTGCATTTCCTAAGCACCTGGGCCTAAGTGCTTCCAAACTAAACTTAAAAGTACATTGTGGACAATACTGGACAGTTTCTGGAATATAAGAGCATAGATCTGGAGAGATGGCTCAGCCAGTAAAGGCTAGGCTCACAACCAAAAATGTAAGAGGAAAGATCTGGGAACGGGAAAGCATTTATGGCACTTGGCTTTCCCTGTACCTCCAGGATTTCCTTCCCCTAACTCACTGATTACATGACAATAGGACCTTAGGAATAAACCACAGTCAGGGGTATGAGGGACAGGACATATGTGATAGGTGATACAGAAAGACAGAGCTTTGGACTAGCATTGATGTTTCCTCTCAGCAGGGCTCAAGCCCACTTTATCTTACATCCTCTCTCTCTCTCTCTCTCTCTCTCTCTCTCTCTCTCTCTCTCTCTCTCTCTCTGTCTGTCTGTCTGTCTCTGTGTATATATGTGTCTGTATTCAAATAAAACATTAACTTATCCTGGGGCACTAGATCACAGCATTACCACTAAGAGTTATCACATAATGAATAATTCGTTTTCGTACCTATTACTGCTCACAGTTGTGAGTTACATGGTTCCTCCAAAAACCCATAATGAAGACCCAGTATCTCAGAATAGAAGCACATAGACACACGGTTCTACAGCCTTTTGACAGCTGGAGAATTGTAAGGCTGGCACAGGTGCCCTCACCCTTGGGATTCCTTACCTGTGTGTTTGATGGAAGTGGCACCTCTTCAGGGGGATCTTGACCACATGCTCCTGCAGCCCCACAAATAGGACACTCTGGCTGTGGAGGATCTGCAGGCTCCTGATGGGCTCACTCCTCCTCTCTGGGAAAAGCTCAATCTCTTCCAGCAAACAGCTGCCTGAGCTCTGACTCAGGGGAGCTCGTACTTTCTTAATGGTGCCATAATCTGTGAAGACAAGACAGGAAGAAAATAGAGCACACAGGTAGCACAGCTGTATTCAGTTAAGCAGAATATGTACAGAGCACACAGCCATAATTCTTCAGCTCACATTTGAGCATTTTTCAGTAATGCAGAGGCCTCTTGGGTGGGCCACACTCGATGGAGAAGTCAGGTACCGATGTCCTTTAAAGCTCTGCAGCGATACTCTAGTGCAGCCAGTGGTGAGAACTGCTGATCTACCACTTTCTCTTCAGTCGCAAGCCTGGCAACAAGAGGCATGCTAAACCTTACTGAAGATTAAATCAGCTGCAGAATACCAGGAAAGAAAAATCCAAAAGGGACAATCTTGGGGCACTGATGTCAGCGTGTTGATTGCTACCCATTCACAGAAGATGTAGAGTGACTTGGAATGTAAATACAAGGCCATTTGTGTGTGTGTGTGTGTGTGTTAGAGAGAGAGAGAGAGACAGAGACAGAGAGAGACAGAGAGAGAGGGAGGGAGGGAGGGAGGGAGGGAGGGAGGGAGGGAGGGAGGGAG